CCCCCCCCCCCCCCCCCCCCGTTTCCTCTGCGCTGCCCCCAGGATTCGAGGCAGCCTCGGCTGCCAAGCAGCACCCTTTCAAGGAGCCGAGGGCCTCAGGGACTTCCTGGTGGGTCTTTTGGGGGAGCAGCAACTACAGATGACTCAATAGGTTTAGGGTTTAGGGGTAGAGTATGCAATGACTATGATAAGGAACCTCCAAAATAGNNGTTATCTGGGCCCCTATATTACACCCAAAAAAGGCAAACAGCCTTAACTCGAAAACCCTGGACCGAAACCCCTTAAAACCCTAGCGGCTACCCTAAAAAACACTAAACTCTGAACCCTTATGGATCCCATGTAGAAGCCCGTATAAACACCCCATAGAACCCACATAGAACCCCTTTTAGAGACCTCATAGAGCCCCGACAGCAACCCTCTGATGCCCCAAAGCCCTAAACCCTTAGCCCCCATCCTGGCAGCGAAAGCGCGGACCTCAAACCAATTCCCTAAGTCTCCTAAAACCTAAATCCTACAGTACCCGAAACCTGAGCCCTAAAACCCTTATCACCAGCCTCGAAAACGATGACCATGACCCAACAAACCGAAATGTTCATGGCTTGTTAGGTTTTTGTTTTTGAGGTTTAAACGGATCAAAAATGATGCAACAACGCCCAAAATTGGAACTTAGGTTGCCAAAGTCCGGAATTTAAGTTCCCATGGCCAGGGTTTTTGTTTATCTGTCTATCTGTCTATCTACCCATTGTCTATGGCACTTTCATGTAGTAGTGATACGCAACAACATGTTGTAGAACATGCTGAGTGTTCGCACCATATTTTACGACCAAGTACTATGCAGCATTGACAGCATTCTGCCCGAGGAACATGTTCGTGCAATGCACTATAACGAGTCGCCTACGAGTCACTTTTTTGTATTGTCATATACAACATGTTGCAACACGCTGTTGCGCAGGGCAGTACAGCTATCTGCAACGTACCGTAGATCAAACATTTGCAGTCATCGGCTGGAAAAACGTTGCTATGCAATGTTGCGTTGGAATCTCGACTGAAACTGCCGAGGCAGCAACAGTACATCTATGCAGATGCTGTTTGCTGCGCGCAGAAGTGGTGCGGCTCTTATGGTGAGCATGTGGCATTGTGCTCGTGCGGCTCGGAGCTGCTTGTAAGTCTGAAGAGTTTGCCTGGAAGGTTGCGTGTTTTGGGTATTTTCCAGCTCTCAGTACCGCTTGCCGCTTGTCCTGATGGCAGGTTGGGTGTTTGTGACGGAGTTTCAGGTGTGCAAAAAATGGGCAGGAAGCTCAGCACCTGTTCGGAAACCGTGATGATGCTGACCAGTAGACGCAGAGCTCAGAAAAACTTGAGCCTGTTATTACACAGCCAGATGCAGAACTAGAGTCTAGATGCACTGCACAGGTTTGGCAGCGTGTTGCAATTCTTACGATTAGCAATTAGCTGGTTCCCTGGCATAGTCCAGCCATATCCACTGTCCCTTCTGCTCATGATCGTGGCTCATGCAGTGGCGTGGGATATCTGCTGAACACTTGTGGCATGCCAGGCATTGCCCCAGATTTGCTGCCGAGAGAACTTCTTGCCCAATGCCAGAAGGCAGCTTGCCACACTGCAAAGTTGTGACGGCAACGTGTTCACATCGCGTCATGCCTTGGGGTCGCTTCAAGAAGCCACTTCCTGAGTAATGCGTTTGATGTATCGAGCAAGAGTTTCGGTGCGTGTCGCATCGGAGGTGATGAGCTCATCGCCGGATATGCACATGAACGGTGAGAACGGGTCCTGGGTCCTTTCAGTGTTGAAGGCGCCTTTGAACAGAGCCTTGTGTGATCGGATTGCGTCTTTTCAGCCGAGGTCATCCTCAGAAAAAATAGGACTAAATCCTGCAATGACGAGCATGTAACAGCAACCACCTCCCTGTTTCAGAAAGCCTTCGCGGGAACCTCCTCGCTTGGAGCTACCACCGTGCTCCTCGCCGGCATCGAGGACACTGGCCTGGGCTGATATTGCGAGGATGCGCAATCCTGTGAGCTGATGGGCCTGTTGCTGGAAGGACTGCCAGCGCATGGCAGTAGTCACCCTGGGAGACTGCGCAATGCTCTTGTTAAGGCACGGTCTGTCCAACAAAACTAGAACGGCAGAGAACTGTCCATCCATTCTGCCTTGACGAGGCCAACAAATGGGGACAACCTTCGAAGCACTTTCCGCTCACAGCGGGTCATGATGGGTGAGAAGACCCCGGCGCAGGCACTGCACCTCTGCTCGAGCCCCCACCGGATCACGTCAAAAAAGCAACAGGTGCTCCGGCTGCCTCACCAAGTAACGGGTGAACAGAAAGAGTTGGTGGAAGACTTTCGCTTGGATACAGTGCGCCTCCCGCTTTGAAATGTGCGGCTGAAGCACCAAGCAGTCTGGCCAAAGAAGAGGTGGATTCTTCGCTCAATGCAGGTACAAATCAAGCACGGCGATGTGCTAGTGCTCGGGTCTGACGGCCTCTTCGACAATCTCAGTGACGAGGACGGCTGTGGGCAAATGAATATAGCATTAGGCATTCCGCATGTGGCGAGAGTGGCGGTTCTGCATGCAGCTTTGCGATACAAGTGCTGCGACGAAGTGCCAGTCTGCATCGGTATTGGTGTGTAGTGGCGGTTCAACTTACGCGAGATGTCAGCTGCTTGTTGCTGTCAGGCCATCACCAATATCGTGCAGCGCCACTGCTGGGGCCCTAACTCAAGAGTTGCCGCTGCCAGGAAGGCAACATGCAACAGTGGATACCGCAACTGGGACGGAAATGTCGAAGTTGCAAGACAAACTGGAGAGCATGGTGGCTTCCCCAGGGCTGCCCTGGGTGCCATCTTTCCGAAGTAGTCCATTCCCGTCATGTCCCCCTTTTCGTGAGTGGCTTTGCCTAACTTCGCGGACAGCTGGACTTGACTATACTAAAGGGAGCCACCCAACCCTTGACTAACAGTTCCCGCTTTTTCATATGCAGCTGGCTTATGTTGTCATCAACGCTTTGCACATTGCCAGCTGAGGCACGCAGTGCAGCTTCGACGATCAAGGCCCCAGCCGAACGTTGCACAAGCAGTTGATGCAACTCTGTCATAGGTCATGGGTCTGCGAGATCGCGGAGGCGCGTGAGCCAACAGGGAGTGGGGATGGCTTCTGACCTGCGTACCGCCTTGTCGGGCACATGAATGCTATGTTTGCACTAGACTCACGAGACACTTTCCAAGCAGAATAACAACGCTGGCGTTCTTGTGGATTCTGGTGTTTTTCTAGTGTCTTGACTTTTGGATTTCTTGAGACTCATGCAGAAGCGGTGACATGCATGAATGACTGCTGGTCCAAGTGCTCCCTGGACTGCAGTCGCCCGTTGGTCCAGCAGCTGCCGGTATTGTACAAAGGTCGTCCGATTCCTTCTGTGCGGCTCTCAGCTTTCAGACGCCATCGCGTGCATCGCAACAGACTCATGATATCGAGCAAAATTCGCAGGTGTTGCAGCTGCAGCAAGCCGCCACTAGCTTGGTCGATGCCGCGATCCAGAATGCCGCCATGCTTCATTACAGAATATAAGCAAGAGATCAGAGCAGAGTCCGAGCTCGCATTCCCTGCCGTGTGTGCGTGTGTGGGAAACATGCCGAGACTGCGGAGGCCTTTGTCTAGGACCAGTCTAGGATGCTACGAGAGCCAACAAATCAGGGCCCATGTGAAAGCAGAGCACCCAAGATCCAAGGTCATTCTCGTTGCAGACCAACCGGTGCTTCACTGAGATCAACACTGCAGTCCTGGATCCTGGGGGGAAAGTCGCGAATGACGCGCGCTAGGGTCTAGATTAATGAGTTCGGATTCACAAGTCGGTTGTCAGGGTTTATGGTAGGGTTGCGAGTTAACTTGTGGCACCTGGGTCGGCGGGTCAGTCTTGAAGCTTCTCGAATCTTCGCGGCTTCGCAGCTTCGGTCGAGTGTCGAGTAGGTCCCCTCAGTCCCTGTGATAGTCCCTATGAATGCATTCGTTAGCGGCACGAATTGCCGAGTAAGCAGGCCGAGAATGTTGTAGCTCATGCGGGACTCGAGGCAGCCATGCCGCTGGTGGCGCGAGGTAACCCAGACGATACTACTGCCATTGTTGCGGTAGTTGTCGAGGCTCGTATGTTGCACGTAGTTGGTGATGCCGTCTCTTGAATGGCCCGCAGCGGTGCCTGGTGCATTGGCGAGTTCCGAATGGATAGTGGCAGTGCATACACGGAGCAGAGAGCCTCTGTGCCACCACAAGCAAGGATCTCTCACACGACTCAACTGCGCTGCAGGAAGGCAGAAACACAGACAGCGACAGTGAGATCGAGCTGCATGATGTTTATCCAGATGCCAGGACCTGAGGATGTGCTGGAGATTTCTAGCTTGCGACCATAGGGCCATAGGGATCTTCTGCTCAAGGCTGAAGCGATGCTGAACAAGGCAGGCTCCTGGGCCTGGGGAGAGAGGGCCCACAGATGACAGCGCGACGAATCTCTGAGCCGCACAGATTGTAGTTGTTGTGCCAGGTTGCCTGTCCAGATCAACGAGTCTGCAGCGCAGGACGGGCGCGTCCACACATTTCCCTGTGGCAGATGCAGATTGCTGCAGCGTCGTTGCCATCTTGCTGAAACCGATGAAAGCAATGAGAGGAATTTGGCCTGTATGCTGTTATGCAGCAGCCATCGATCGCGACGACAATGAAGACTCAGAGGCAGAGGCAGAAAGTGGCTGAAAGCTCTTTGCAAGATGTCTCCTCTTCGCTGCCTGACTGAACCGCCTGCAGGTGTCGAGTGAGCATCCGGACCTGCTTTTGCTAAAACCTCTAGCAGCGCTGCTGCAGCGGGAATTCTTGGGCCATTTTTGATTACATCGATGCCGCAGTTCCGTTGACTTCCGTCATGCTCCCAGTGGCAGGACACCGAGCACGGGCAGGCCTGGTCTGCTGTTAGTGGACGCTCGCTCCATTCGGCACATTTCGGCAGGATTTACCAATTTCCAATGCGCCGTCTAAGGATCGGAGAATTTCTTGTTGGGTTGGGTTGGGTAGGATCATCTTGATCCACCTTGTGCTTGGCGGTCTTTCTTGGGTTTGCTCGGGATTTGGGACTGTTCAAGAACCCTGTGACCAAACTTCTTCTCACCCGATGCCTGAATTTAAGCAAGTTGTCTACCAATGAAAAGGCGGCAGTTGAAGCCGGTGCATGTTGCCTGCTTCTTCAAAACTGATCGAAGGTGCCATCTTGCTGCATCAGCTGATCTCAACATGTCTGTTTCACCTATCCGGACCTATCCAGACTCTGGATGCTCGCCAGCGGCGGCTCAGCGTGCCATAGTAAAGTCGTCGGTGCATGACAATATCACCGCAGCAGAGCACGCGGCTAGGCAGACCGGCACCGGACATGTGCAAATTGATCTATTGGCGGTTTAGGATTGTTTTCCTCCCTGCTCGGCATTGCTATGCAGAAAAAAATTGCAAGCTGGCCTTGGGCCTTCGGCCGCAGGGAGGACAGCAAGACCGCAGAGCGGTTTGGGTTCCTGTGCAGCGGCACTGAGTTTCAAGGCGCGAACACGTGCCTTTCAGCGTTAGGTCTCACTGCGTGCAGAGAGCGAAATAGCACCGATGTTCTGCTTCTGAAGCCAGGCCAGTCGCAGTGATACTGATACAACGCCGCCTGAGTGTGCAGAGAGCATCGCTAACCATTTTTTTCCGTGATAGCTCTTGGCTGCACATCAAGCCTGGGTTCATGTCTAGCACCTGCGCACCTCTGCGCTCAATGGAATCACCGGCGACCGTCACAGAGACGAACCCCAACTGGCTCTACCTGCAGGAGGTGACCGCTAAGCTGCGCGAGACTGAGAAACAGGCCGAGATAATCAAGGACACGACCCTGCACAGCAATCGACGTATGTAGGCTTGCGCTGCTTCCCGCAACGTAATCCGCCGTGTCCTCGAGACAAGACGAGGGCCAAGATCCACTGAGCGGCCTGCTAGCTGCGAGGACAATCTTCGACAGCTCAACAGCGCGTGGGCTGCCAGACCACAATTACATCACATACACAGGCTGTCTCACCCCTGCCCGCAACCCCGTAACCCAGAGCCCCTGAAGTTCTTGCCTCTGAAGGCCACGTGAAGAGCAGCTTGACGTGGTTTCCAGTCAGGCGCGCTGCCAACGTTCCGCTTTAACCAGTCTGGTTGTGATGCGGACTTCAAAGTCAAAAACTAGTAGATGGTTTAAGTCGTTGCACTAAGGCCTGAGTGAAGTGCTTCGCACGGTGACATAGTGCAGCGTACCGCAACGACTGGCCGCGCGTCGTGTTAGCGCATGTCAGCATGCCGAACGAGGTTGAGCGAAAGGCGCGTGACTTGTCCGACTGGCCGCTTCTCCTGAAGAAGGAATCGGGCATCAGAAGCTGCGGCCCCAACCGCTAGCAGCACAGACGCAACTCGGGCAGCGGTGCGGCGTCAGTTGTGTGCCGAGGGTATCTCTTGGCCTGCTTGGGTCCTTCTTGCCGGGGCTTGCGCTTGTGTGGAAAAGCCGGAGGCCCAGCAAAAGGGGACGGAAGGAGAAAAACAATTTCTTGAAGAGACCTGCAAGGGGCGGGCACTGAGGGCTTCAGACCTTCCACGCCGGCGGAGGAAGCGCTCAAGGCTTACCAAGACCCGCCCCAAGCTGCGGAGCTTGCAGAACGGGCCAAGCCGGCACAAGCCCGGGCTCAGACGTCGCCTGCAGCGGACGCGCAGGCACAGGCCTTTGCAGCAGCAGTGGCACAACTTTCGGACAATGTGCAGGTCCAACAGCCGATGTGTCTGCACCAGACTGAGCATCGACAGGTGCAGCAACAGCTGCTCCCAAAGCAACAGCAGCAACCGCGATACTACCAACAGCACTACCAGTTGCACCGCACGCAGCCTGGGTAAGCCTGACCTGTTAGAAACTGTAAGGTTAAAGCTTCTGAATGCTACAGCATGGATTGAGCTTCCTTCGGTTAGGGATCAATAAACTACAGGGCTTCTGTGTCGAAGCCTGCTGAAATTGAAGGGATACCCACAAAGCCGAGCACCCTGAACTCGAATCTTTCACACTTTAGGGTCTGAGGGATCTCAATAGCACTGCCAGGTACGACTACCAGATTCAGCGCCAGGCGCAAACATTGACATGTGGCTCGCATTTCTTCTGGTCTGTGCCCTACAGTAGCAGCTGGGCCGCTTCGGACGTTACAGTTGGGGCTTTAGGCCTTAGGGTCTCCGGCGCCCAGATGCGGATCCCTAATTAGAGCCCTGGCGCAGCTCAGGGCGCATCCGATATCACGGCACATTGCTGTACCACTTTCTCTGCTCCATGCCCGTTAAGACTGATTTCGGTTGTTGGAGCCGCTTGGTTTCCTGCAGGTGCGGCGTGAGTATGGCGCAGCGATGCCCCTCGTCGGGACTTGCCTTGGCCGGGGCCGGGGAGTGAGCCTCGAGTTTCGCCTAGCTTGAGGCCCCGAGAAGTTGCTTTGTTGTGCCTCAGCCCCCACACTTGGGCTTGAGTTTCAGGCTTACTGGCACCAGGCCCTAAAGCACCCCCAAAAACCGCATGAGGCAGAGATGCATGCCTGATATGGGCACATCGCAGCAGCCTGGTCCACTCGATGCCCTTCCCATTCAGCTGGCACAGGCCTCTGGGGTAAGGTAAACCTTAGCGCAGCGACTAGGACTCAGGACCCTCACAGAAATTCCAACAGGGTTTTGAATCGGAGCGTACTTGATTGACACAGCGGGGTCACTGGGTTTGGCACAAAAGAAGGCACAGTACCTTAGCTATTTTAGATCACGTGCAGTTTCCAATCCTACCTCACTTGCTTTTATGCAAGGCTTTGCCCAGATGTTCCTGCCATCGCCTGTTTTGCAGGGTTGTTGTTATGAGGCCTCGAGAATGTCAGGGCTTGTTCTCAATGATCTGTCCTCGCTGTACTGTACAGTACATGCATACATGGTCATGTACTCCCCGATCCCTCTAAGCACCCCCTCCTTCTGCGGGTAGGGTGGATCTGTTTAGGTTAGGGTTTAAGCAATCTCTTTGGCCCTTTGTCGCCCCTGTGGGCATGGGTGGTTTCCCCCCTTGGGTGCTCCTGAAGAAGAATGCGGGCATGCGACGCTGTGGCCCCAAGCCTCTTGCATACCCTGAGATTAAATGCACCTTTGCAGTCGCAGAAGGATTTCAAATCGACGGCTCACCAGCAGATGGAGGGGGTGACCGCCAAGCTGTGCCAGATTGAGAAACAGGCCGAGACGATCAAGGACACGACCCTGCACAGCAATCGATCTAGGCTTGCGCCGCTTCCCACAGTAAGTCGGACGAGGGCCAAGATCCGCTGAACAGCTTGCCACTGTGAGCTGTGAGGACAATCTTCGACAGCTCAACAGTGCGTGGGCTGCCAGACCACAAATACAAAGGCTGCCTTCAATATCCATGAGTCGGAGCAGCCACCTCCCTATACTTAGAGACCCTGAGTTCTTCCCTTCGAAGGCCGCGGGAGGCCGCCTCCGTCCCTGGAAGAGTGCCCCGTCGTTTCAAAAAGATCTGGCAGGATCTTGTCCATGTCTTGTTAGAGTCTTGTTGAGAGATGCAACATGAAAGACTGTAAGGTTCAAGTGCAAGCTCCGGTGAAGGGATGCATCATCGTTGCATGAAAATTCGTCTGGCCCTGGGCCAACAGCTCTGCAGATGCAGAGCGGCCAGGGTTGCCGTGCAGAGGCACTGTTTCCTGGCGCGAACAAGTGCCTTCGAGCATTCGTTAATTAGTTAGGACTGGCATTGTTCTGCGCTACGGCCCACCTGTAGCGAAAACAGTATCGACGAGTTTCAGGGCTGCCCAGAATCCGGTCAGCACCCGGTCAGTCGCAGTGACAGAAGAGCATCAGTGTGTCTTGTTCCATGACCCGCCAGCCTGGTTGCATGATGGTTCTGACACGGGAATCAAGCTTGCTAGTTAATTGCAAACATCTTGTTAGTGTTAAACAAATTCTAGTTGAGTTCATCGTGTCTGCATGTGTTTTAGCACCTGTAGCCTCAAACATCTGCAGACTCAGAGATGATCGCTGCCTGTGCGAATGCGAACTGTACGGACAGTCGCGAACATGCAAAGATCAGTTCTTTCTTTCATGTAGCCCCTGCGCTCAATGGAGACCGCCAGAGAGACGAACCCCAACTGGTCCACCATTCAGGAGGTGACCGCTAAGCTGCGCCAGACTGAGAAACAGGCCGAGACGATCAAGGACACGACCCTGCACAGCAATCGATGTATGTAGGCTTGCGCGGCTTCCCGCAACCTAATCCGCGTTGTCCTCGAGACAAGCTCTGCACAGCCCTAAGGCTCACATTAACAACACAGCAGTAAGTCGGACGAAGGCCAAGATCCGCTGAACAGCTTGCCACGGTGAGTTGTGAGGACAATCTTCGACAGCTCAACAGCGCGTGGGCTGCCAGACCACAACTACATCACATACACAGGCTGTCTCACCTCTGCCCGCAACCCCGTAACCCAGAGGCCCTGAAGTTCTTGCCTCTGAAGGCCACGTGAAGAGCAGCTTGACGTGGTTTCCAGTCAGGCGCGCTGCCACCGTTCTACTTCAGCCAGACAGGTTCTGGCAAATGTCTAGATGATGACACTGCCTGTGTGGCAATTCTTCACAACACGTACCAGAAACGAAAGTGTGGCGGCACAGGGCGCCAGCCATTGGAAATTAAGCCAGCATATGTAGACCCCGACGCTGAAACAGCACACAGCAGCGAAAGCTCTATACATACCCAAGACCACAGCTAACAAGACCACCCCTTTGAGTCCAACAAGAACGCCCTCGGTCGCAACATCCAGATCAGGGTGCTAAATGGGCTCAATACCGAACGAGGTTGAGCGGAAGGCACGTGACTTGTCCGACTGGCCGCTTCTCCTGAAGAAGGAATCGGGCATCAGAAGCTGCGGCCCCAACCGCTAGCAGCACAGACTCAACTCGGGCAGCGGTGCGGCGTCAGTTGTGTGCCGAGGGTATCTCTTGGCCTGCTTGGGTCCTTCTTGCCGGGGCTTGCGCTTGTGTGGAAAAGCCGGAGGCCCAGCAAAAGGGGACGGAAGGAGAAAAACCATTTCTTGAAGAGACCTGCAAGGGGCGGGCACCGAGGGCTTGGGAACATCTGCATCGCCTCTGTCTCGGGACGAAGCGGCCTTGCAGGACAAGCCGCACATCGCCCAGTTTCAACATGCCGTGTGGCAACGTTCGCGTGGAATGGTGTTTGCGAGAGAACTCTCGACAGTGCTGTTTCTGCGACAGCACGAATTCTCCAGGATAGGAATCATCTGCATCCCAGGCCTCTTCGACGCTCTCAACTTGAAGCACTGGCGCCTACCGTGCCATCGCTGCAAAAAGCTGAAGATAGTCACGGTCTCTGTCAGCATCAAGCCGAACTTCTCTGATTGCATGACAAGCGGATGCCTGGGAGCTCCCCAACCTGGCTCTATATGGGGGTTTCCGAAAAAAGGGGACCCTAATATAGTACCCCTAAATAGTAGGATCCCTATTATAAGGACCCCACAATAAGGTACCCCTTATTTTCGGAAACTCCCATATAACTCGTGGGAGGGCCCTGCACCAACCTCCAGCGACAGCCCAACCCGAATTGTCTTGTCTTCAGTCCTCAATCGACAAATGAACGTCATGTTAATCGTTGCCTGCTGTAAACGGTATTATTAATTTTGTCTCTATTTTACTGGTACTAGATGTTGAGATAGAAGAAAGCCTGACAGAGGGAGAGCAGAAGACCTCGCTTCCTTCAGTAAAACTAAGCCTTTGTAACCTCTGCCTTTCCCGCACTCACGCGGTGGGGGGGTGAGAAACCCCTCCTCTTCACCTTGCGTTGGGATACCAAGCTTCACAGCATAGAATGAGGCCACCAGCCAACAAATCTGTCTCTCATTTGTTTGGGACCATATTATTCCTCCTGTGGCTGCGCTGGTGTGCTCAGGTAAAGCACCTTTCTCACAAACTGGGGAACCCGAGGCCTCATGTTGTTGTCTTTGACTTGCCTCCCCAGCGGTGCCAGCCGCCTTGTCCGGTGTTTCACAAATGGGTTGCGATTAACCGGAGTGACCCAAACTGTGCGATGCCGATGGGGGGCCCACTTGTGGCGAGAACCAGTCCTTTTAGGACTCAGCTGGAGTTTGGGTTGACCAAGACTTCCCGCTGTGGCTTCCAAGGCATGGACCTCTATCCTCCCCCACCATGAAAAATCAGCAAGTTCAGGTGGATTCTGCCCGAGCCCTAGCCCCCACCTAAGTAAGCATTTCATTCAGCTCAGGTGGAATGTGGAAGTTCATTGAAGAAGTGCCCCCTACAATACATAATGTGTGTACATATATGTCTAGTATATACTCTAATATATAATAACTAACATACAATATATAATCAGCCAGGCCTCCTCCTTTCAATTGCAATGTCCAGTTCTTTGAGCCGCCTTGTTGCTATCGCTACTATGCTGCCGTCGCAACGTGACGACCACTGCTACCGCAAGCTGCTGCTGCTGCCCCTGCTGCTCTTCTTCGGGCCAGACAAACAGGTGCTTGAGTCACAATTTAAAACTTTCAAATTTCCAGCTTCGACATCGATCGTAAACCTCAGCTGCGCTGCGCATGTGTGGATGGCGAGCATTGTTTGGAGATCACGTGCGCCTAGTATGCTGACGCCCTTTCCCCTGATCACCCGGCCCGCCTGACCCCGCCCCGCCGAGATCTCCTTGTCCGCCCTTCCCTTGTGCTGTTATTGCGACCGTCCCTGATGCCGCGACTAAGATTGCCGCTACTTTTGCTCGTCGTCGCCAACAGTTTTCCCCACATCAAACCTCGCTAACGAGCTTTCTTCCAGCCTTCTCAAGCAGACTGAGAAGATCAAAAACGAGATCAAACGAGCATTTCCAGGCACCTGCGGGTCTCAAGCAGACGGAAAACTCATCGCTTGCATCAACAAGCTCGGGGCTCAGGGTTTGCCTGTTGCACATTCATGCTCAGCAGCTGGCAGCTGCGGGGTAGCCTGAGGCACTGGCATTGTCAGCCCGCCGCAGCCTTCACTGCCTTGCCAGATCTTGCTTGCTAACCGTCGCTGGACGTCGCTACGTGCCTCGCTACGTGCCTCCAGCTGAGGCCGGAGCTTCCAGAAGAGCCATGTTTGGAGAGGCCCGGTAAGAGGACGCGAGAGGTGAAGTCTGAAGTCCGACCAGCACTGCGGGAGGCACGCGGCCGTGGATGACGCACATGCCCGGTTCTCATTCTGAAACTCCGGGCCCGGCACATCCGCTTGAAGCCCTGAGGAAGTTCCGCAGCTGATTCGGGTGCGTGCCGATCGACAAGACGTGAGAGAAACCCCCAGGCAGCAAGCAGCTGGCTCAGAGACTTCCGCAGGATGGCTGCGAGTTCACAGCCGCAGAAGATCTTTGGTGCACATAGCCGCGGATTGTGTGCGGCCACTTCAGGACACACTGACAACGCTGCCTGAGCATCTACCACGAGACCTCATGCAGAAGTACAAGTTTATCGACGCCCACAGCTTGGGTTCAGGCCACCCTCGATGCCCGTCAAAGCCCAAGCCGCTATGCATCATGTGCAGAGGTGCCGTCGCGAGAGTTTGCCGGATGCAAGAGCTGGAAACGGGTCGGCATGTGGCGGTGAAGGCGGGTCAGAGAGAAGGCATCCCTCTTCCCGGCAAGTTTCCCAAAGTTGCCGGCTTGGTCCAATGCAGGTTGTTGAGAAGTACCCCCTCCAGATCCGCAACATGATCACGCAGATGGAGCGTGAAATACGGGTCCACAAGAGACTATGCCATCCCAACATCCTGCACCTCCATGCCTGCTTCGAGGACGGCCGAACCTGTTTCAAGAACTTGAAGCAGACTCCGTGCAGATTTCTCCGTTTCAGGACAGCACACATTGGTACATGGTGCTGGAGCTCGCAAGTCGTTTGGTGAACCTTCTGGTTCGACACCCCTGGAAGCGGCTTCGAGAACCTCAGGCGGGATGGCTCTTCGGCCAGGCTGGGATCCTCTCAGAGCAAATCTTAGGGCCTAGGTGGCCTAGGTCATCCCTTTGGGCAGGTTGTCGATGGCGTGTCGCACCTTCACCAGAACGGTTGCAGCCTCGAAGACAGAGTCTACTCGTAGGCACCTACAGCTTCCTTTACATCCAAGCTCTAAGGCTGCGTCCACAGAGATTTGAAGCCCGACAATGTCCTCATGGTCGAAGACTGCCCGAAGGCGCAGTCGCATTATTTAGAGTGGCGAGCATCGGCAGCTCTTTTTCAAGCCAACGTCTCGACGTTTGCCAGATTTGTGACTTCGGATGGTGCGCAGAGCTCAACGAAGGCCAGCGAAGGCGCCTGGCTGAAGTTGCTACAGTTCGGACATGTCAACTGCCCGAATGGCTTGATGGCTAGTGATCCTGAGTCCGTCAAGGCATTGTATGAGTCTGCGATGCCACACTAGCCCGATGGACCCATGGACGGTGCTTGCGAGGACGTTTTGCGGCACCTTCGACTACATGGCTCCGGAGGTCTTGAAGGGGTAGCGGAAACAATACATGCCCGGTAATAAAGTTTCGTCGCATCCGCTTAGAGACACTAAGCGGAGTACGCGGAGTACAGCAGGTGAGGAATACCCTAGCCTGGCTAGCGGAGGAATTATCGCGCCGGAATGAAATTATAGTATT